TTTGAATTCGTTTCGAAACTTCAACGTATGATATATGTGGTCTATGGAGCTTTATTTTTTTATTTTTTTTTCTGGGTCATACTTCAGATTATACGAGTGAGGATTTTAACTTTGACTTACTAAGACTTCTCGACCGTTTGATCAAGTTAGCTAGTACGATACTGATGGTTTTTATATACTTGTTTACATATATATCCACCCATCACATAAATGAAAAGAAAAAACATGTTTTCAATAAATTTTTTTTAAAAAAAAGATTAACAACTAGAATAAATCTTTACTTGAAACTTTAATGGCTAAAACAAACATTAGAAAGATCAGGTTTCTATAAAAAGATATATGATATGAATGGTTTTGAATTGGTGGGTGCCTTCTAATTTTAGGCCAGAAATGGTTGCTAAATTTGGTTATATCCATTGATCTTCTATTGTTAAACCCGCAAATTTCTCTGAATATTACCTGCTTTCAATCTCCTCCACTGCCTCTTCTTTTATCCCTTTATCCCAGCTTTCACTTATAAAAGCATAGGCTGCAACATTCTTTGAGACAGACAAAGACAAGGGAGTGTGGCATTGCACAAAGAGCAATAAAAACAGAAGATCAACAAGGAGCCAGCCACAAACCTTGTCTCTCTCCCGGTCCCATCTCTGCGTTTGGTCGGTCGGTTGGGTTGATCTCAGTCATTCGTTTTCTTTTGTGAAGAGCGCGGTGTGCTTAACCGGCAAGAGCGGAGGCAATGGCGAGCTTTTCGGGAACCACACAAAAGTGCATGGCTTGTGAGAAGACCGTTTATCTTGTAGACAAGCTTACAGCTGATAATAGAGTGTTCCATAAGGCTTGCTTCCGGTGCTACCATTGCAAGGGTACTCTCAAGGTGAGTCTTAATTATTGGGTAACTTTACCTTAACACCACAAAGTAAATAAACCCGAAAGTTAAAAGATCTGGATCTGGTTCTGATATCATATTATATCTACTTTATAATAAAAAATATAAATTTAATATAACTATCTGAACAATAAGCTTTGTATATAAATATATTTTGGTTATGTTCTGCAGCTTAGCAACTATTGCTCCTTTGAGGGAGTGCTATACTGCAGGCCTCACTATGACCAACTCTTCAAGAGAACTGGCAGCCTAGACAAGAGCTTTGAGGGTAATTTCTCTCCCTAATTACAAATCTAGACATGCCTTATTCTACAGATGTCAAATTACCAATTTCGTTCGAGCGAAATCGCAAACTATATAAGAGTTGTCCATTCTTTATTAAATTGATATGGTAGTCAGTTCTATAAACTTAGTTTCCTCTTCTTCAGGAACTCCAAAAGTAAAACCAGAAAAACCCACTGAAACTGAGGTAATACTCTTTCTACCAATTTCAGAAAACCGTAAATCAAAATTGTTATCAAACTGGACTTTAGATATTATTCTAACTTGTTTTTGGCATCGGCAGAATGCAAAGTCAGTGTCCAACATGTTTGGTGGCACCAGAGACAAATGTTCAGGCTGTACCAAGACTGTTTACCCCATTGAAAAGGTACATCAATCACTTTAAGAGAAGCCAATGTATATTTCTGGTCGAATTCTTATATCGGTGTCGTCGTTGTGGTTGCGTAGGTAACGGTGAACGGGACGGCCTACCACAAGACCTGCTTCAAGTGCACCCATGGAGGCTGCACAATAAGCCCATCAAACTACATAGCACATGAGGGAAAGCTGTACTGCAAGCACCATCACATTCAACTATTCATGGAGAAGGGAAACTACAGCCAGCTTGAAACTGAGAGGCAAAAAAATTCTGTGTCAATGAATCTAACTTCTCCAGTGGAAATTGCAGCTGAATCATAGTCTGTAATTGGGACTAATATCTCAAAATTGTTTCTTTCTGGT